ATTATAATATGTTATATACAGGGTGTCCCCAAAATATATCAGCACACTTTAACAGCTGATAGCTCAATTTTGAAGATGAAATGTACTTTAATAAACACTGCTTTATAATTATTCAAAATGTTTACATACATTTTTGGGATACCCTATATATTGTATTATGTATATTATATTATATTATATTATATTATATTATATTATATATTAATTATATTATATTATATTATATTATATTATATTATATTATATTATATTATATTATATTATATATATTGGTTCCCTCTTTTGTTTTTCTTTCTTTTTGTTATTTATAGTAAAGAGACGCTATTTTTCTATTTTTTCAAGTTTAAAGTTTCTTTGGTAATATTGTCCTGTTTATTTTTAAAGAATCTGTAATATTTATCTCTTTCTGCAGTTGGGCCAAATATTCTAGCCCAGGAAGTAGCAAACTATGGCTGTAGGACAAGGCTGGCCAGCCACCTGGTTTTGTAAATAAAGTTTTATTGCAACAGTCCTGTGCTCATTTGTTTATTATTGTCCATGGCTGCCTTTGTGTTATAAGGGCAGAGTTGAGTTGCTATAACAGAAACTATAGACCCCAAAGCCAAAAATATTTTACTATGTAGTCCTTTATAGAAAATGTTTACTGACCTCTGCTCTAGTTCCTAGTCAGTATGATTCTAAAATATTATCTTACCTAAGTGAATTTATCCTGATTGGCACTGTGTGATGGTGTGTAGCAAGATGCATTCTCAAGCCAGCTCCACTATGCATGATTAGAACTAAATCCCACAGTAAACTCTGGAAATGTTATAGAACATGCACCTGAGTTATCCTACCAGAGAAATGAGAGAACGAGTATTTTTACACCAAATCTTGTCAGTCATTGACTGAAGGCTGCTCCTGCAGGTGACTTTCAAGACATGTCTGGCCTGCTCTCATCTTAAAGCAGCCTTCTTTGGCTGTGGGGAAAATCCTCAGGTAAAGAAATGTAGATACTGACATCTGGAAATAAAGTTCCAAAGGGGGGTGGGCTGGTGAGAACACTGTCATAGACTCTGGCTTTGAAGGGTGAATCTGAAATCCCTTTCAAAATTATCTTTTAATTTTACTGTGGGATTTAACTTAAGGATTAATATAATCATATTGTGAGCTTTGGCAGGATTTGTTTTTTAATAAACTAATCTCATGTTTGGCTCTTAGATGTATCTATTTTCAGGTCCTAACCCATCTCCAGAAGGTTCCCTATATCTGCCTCTATGTGTATCCTCAATATAGGGCCATCTGCCTGTCAGGGCTCCAGCTGCCTCCTCAAGACCAGAGCCATATTCCCACCACTACCTACAGCACCTCTAGTAGCCCGCTCATCCCACATGCATATTAAATGGCATTCCTGTGCCTTCACACTATGGATTCTTCCAGGAGAGGAGCTGAGGCTGAGAAGAGCAGAGCATTTAAGCAATTAATTGACTTGCTCAGTGCTCCATATAGCCTCTGGAGAACCTGATTCTGTTAATTCCATCAATATTGGTCAATTAGACTTGATAATGGAAGGACAAAGAGGGCCAGATAGAGGAAGAGGGAGAGTGCGATGAAAGATGTCACAAGAACATGGATGCTGGAGAAACAGCTTTTTAAAAATATAACCATCTTTATTGATTTCAGAGAGGAAGGGAGAGGGAGGGAGAGATAGAAACATCAATGATGATAGAGAATCCCACATTGGGGATCGAGCCTGCAACCCAGGTATGTGCCTGGACAGGGAATCGAACTGTGATTCATAGGTCAATGCTCAACCACTGAGCCACACTAGCCAGGCTCAAACTTTAATTTTCAAAGGTGAGTCTGATCTGTTAGGTCTGAGCTTGCAAACTATCACACTAGGGGAGAAGTGATCATGATGACTATTATATTTTTAAGCCAAATAAAGTCAGGCAAGCTGCTGATATGTTGCGATAGCATAGTGTGTTGGTATTATATAAATCTCTTGGTGATGGAAATATAAGCATCCCAGACCAATGGAAAGAACTACCACACCAGCAAAGATCCTCACAGTATTAAAAAATATATATATTTCATGGAAAGGATTGAAACTGGCAAGGAGATTAGAAGACCTATTGTTTACACAGAAATAGCAGAGGGTTCTGGAAATATCACCTCTTTGGCTATTGTGCTTAGCATCATCATTGAAATATGTCTGAAGATATTTTAATAATCAGGGAAGGGCTTGTATGTGCTTTGGGGTTTTGTCAAAAGTGGTCATAAGTTGCATTTCAAAAAGAGCTTTTAAGGAACCATCATGGATAATATACACAATGGGTAGCATGGAGCCCATCAAGGCAGCCCCGTGTCAGTGGGTTGCCTTTGACCATATTTGGTCACTGCTCATGAGTCAGTCAGTGGCCAACTGGCTTTTTTTTTTCATGGCCTTTCAGTAGAAAATGGAATCCCATCTAAATGACCTATGGTAATGTCCAGTTCTGGTGCAGAGATGTCCATCATCATGGACCTGGGGGACTTTGATTTCTATAAGAGTTGGAATTCTGAGTTGGCTAGTGAGATCAATGGCATTGAGACTAAAGAGGAAATAGCTCAGGGCCCCTCCAAGTATGACAACTGCTTTCATTGTTGTGGAATAGCATAAAGACTACTGGACTCTAGACTGCTGGCTAAATACTTCTGTCTTCCCAATGGGACACTTAATAAAGGCAAACTCGGTGGCGATGGTGATGAATTTAATCTTAAAAACAAATAACACACCTCAATCATAAAATTCCAGGGGACACATGAAGATCGAACTGGGGAATCAAATCTTCTAACTGCCAGGTTTCTCTACTTTTAAATTGATCATTGTAGACAAAATCAGAACTGAGCCCATAAAGAAGAAAATTTGAACAACTGGTTACACTATGGGAAAAGCTAGAGTTTCTTTTAGATCTGAATGGAGGCATCTGTTTTGTTTAAATTAAGGGTCTGTAAGTACCAGTCAGGGACCACGTTGACAGCCATTCCTGTAATAAAGTAATAAATCATGGGGATGGTTAAGGAAGCAAAAAACACCACATTCTTCCTTTGCTTAACCAATTAAGCAATAAGCCATCTGGGTCTTTCTGTTAATTACTGTCAAACACAACTTATTCAATTGAATTCAGCCTTTTCTTTAATTATATTAATTCATTCCAGCAACTTCAAATACCCACAATACCAATAATAAAATTCCTTTAAAAAAATAAAGGTCTTGTTTAATTTTTATTTTTCAATCATTAATACCATTTACAAGCTAATAATACCCTTTATTAGCTTGGTCTCCACTTCAAAATATTAGAGGAATTCATTTTAAATATAGACAAGCCTGAAAGAAGACGACGATGGCTAGAATTTCTTCTCTTGATGAGAAGATGGACTTAATGTAGATCAGTGCTACCCAACAGAACTGTTTGCGATGATAAAATGTTCTATATCTGTGCTCACTAATACAGTTGCCTCTAGCCACATGTGACTATTGAGCACTTAAATGTGACCAGTACAACTGAAGAGCTGAGTTGATTTTTTTTTTTTTTTCATTTTAATGCATTTACATATAGAGAGCCACATGTGGCTAGTAGCTACTAGCACAGGTCTAAAGTGTCTTCTGAGAAAGGAGAAATGCAGTGAGTGAATCAGACTTAAGTAGGAGAAGGAATACATAATTATGATAGACATTGTTTAGAAACCCTCACTTCCTATCTAGTTTTCCTTATTTGAAACACTCTGCATTCTGAAACAGCCCAAAGGAGACCAACATCTGTGGGGAGGTTACTAAGCTGAGCATGTGAAGAGGGGACTCTATCTGGAGGAGAAAGAGGTTTGAATGGTGACTCCTGAATAGCAGAACCAACCCACTCATCCACACATATGGTCACACTAGGCAGGGTCACAGCAAGGAGAGCCAATGGCTCTCCTCTAATGGAGATGTGTTCCTCCCACGGTTGTCAATGTTCAACTTGTGGGCACACTTAGGGGTCCCAGGCAGTTCCTGCAGGCCAAGAAATGGCCCTATCACCCTCCCCTCCACCACCCCCTAAACATTAACACCCAACTCTTGTTCCTCTCATAAGAATTTTGGCTCAGACACTGGTATTTCCCCTCAGAGAGGTTTGCCTCTTTGCAAAGGTTGCTATTTCTGATCCAGTCAATACAAACCCTGTAACAGCATCGGGAGAGTTTCTCAAGTGTACACACTTTTGTTCCTGGGACTCCTCAGTCTGAGCTGACCCTTCTAAAGACCAATGGCTAAAGAGAAGTATATTGCAGAAGAATCTGGTTGTGGTTAGCCAAATTGGAAAAGGGCTAGGGCAGGGTGAATGGAGGTAGAAAGTTCTGAGAAAATTCTCATTAACATGAAAAGCTGCTTTTCAGCTGTGAGGCTGAGCTGGAGAGTTGGTCCAAAGCTCTCTTCCATCTTCTCTCCAATCCTGCTCTTCTCTCAGTAGCTTCCCTTCCTTCTTCTGAACTAGGGCTCAACCAGAGAACATGAAATTTGTCCTAATAGGCTTAATCCAGAGTTTTTTGTATGCCAGGCCATATGCTCTCTTTACACTTTAATTTCCATAGTTGGTTACACAGACAATCCAAGGTAAGGCCATTTGAAATGAATTGATCAATTGGACTTATGCATCCTGGAAGTGCTAGCAGAGAATGTCCAGGCCTCTCTTCTTAGTCAGAGATAAAAGCAATTATTACATACCCAATGAAGAAAATGAAGAATCTTCTGTACTATGTAATGGTCATCTACCAGTGATGAAGACAATGTATATATATTTTTTCTTTTTTGAGAATGGCCAGCAGTCAATGGCATAGGTGCAAGAAGGGAAAGACTGTCTATAAGCATTCATGGAGCCTTCTTCTCCAGTCTCACAAGGAGTGCAAACACAGAGGATGTGCTTCATGGATATACATGCTTTCTTAGCTCTCTTGTCACTGAACTGTGAGGGCCAATCTTCTCTTTTCCTTCAGACATGCAATCATCGTTCATCCACAGCGCTGACATTGTCAAATCGCCACAGCTGGCTGGCTTTTCCATCACACTGACGCAAGTACAAATCTTTATTGTTTTCCTGCACCACAGCTTCCATACATTTCCCAGAAAGAATGTGAACAATCATTCCATTCTGAAAAGTGAGAAGGGAACAAAAGAAGAACCAGTCAGTCCCCCTCAGTCAGTCAGCAAAGAAGGAAATTTCTAAGATTTGTACTAATCATCTATAATAATAAAAGGATAATATGCTAATTAGACTGGACTTCCTTCTGGATGACCTTCCAGAGGAAGCCGAGTCGATGAGGGAAGCCTGGGTCCCAGGTGCCAGAGGGAAGCCAGTGCTGACAGCCGTTGGAAGGAAAGCCTACTCTTGTACAAACTTTATGCACTGGGCCTCTAGTTAAGAGAATATTAGGGTAATGCAAACTGGCCTGGTGAGGAACTATAGTATTTTGGTGAAAATGTAGTGTAATTCAGATAATTCTGAAATGTAGATATTATTCAGAGCTTTGGGGCCTTTAATTAAATTATCTTTACTGTGGTTGGGAAATTATACCATATCTTAGAGGGTTCTGGTTAGTGGAATGCTCAGTATAAAAATTATGTTCAGCCGAAACCCATTTGGCTCAGTGGATAGAGCGCCAGCCTACGGACTGAAGGGGTCCTGGGTTCGATTCCGGTCAAGGGCATGTACCTTGGTTGCAGGCAAATCCCCAGTAGGGGGTGTGCAAGAGGCAGCTGATCAATGATTCTCATCGATGTTTCTAACTCTCTATCCCTCTCTCTTCCTCTCTATAAAAAAATCAATAAAATATATATTTTAAAAATTGTGTTCAGGTTCAGTCTTTATGTTGTATTGGTGACATTCACTGTTATCAATGACTTTTAAATTTCTGCTTTCAAAGTGATTTAATTTAATCTCTGTCCTTTTATTAATCCTGCAATTTAGTACTGCTGCCACCAGGTTGCAGTAGAGAGTAAGGCTCTAAGGATATACTAAAGGCCTAAGTCAGCCATATTTGAAAGACTATTTCAAATCTACCAAATTTAATACTGAATCTAGCTATGCCCTTTACAAGGAAAAATCAATGTCTTTATCAAAACTTAAACATCCTTAACCAGCAATAGTAATAATGTCCATTTATTCATTTATTTGTTATTTAGGTATTTTTTAGATATTATTCACATACCATAATATTCATTCTTTTAAAGTATACAACTTGGTGGTTCACTGTGAAAAGAAATCTGCTATTTATTAGCATTCTTTTCCAATTCCTCCTTCCTTCCAGGCATAGAAATCACTAATATGCTTTCTGAGTTTATGGATTTACCTATTCTGGATATTTCCTATATCTGCAATCACATAATATGTGGCCTTTAGTGACTAGCTTCTTTCACTTTGCATAATATTTTCAAGGTTCATTCTCAACAGCTTATTGTGTGTTCAGCCTAAGTTTCCAGCATATGATTTTCTTCTTTAAGAATACTGATGCACAGAGTTCCGATTATTTTACCCTCTTTGTTCCCAAGAAGAAGTTGAAGGAAATAAGAGGATGTGTGTATTTGTTTCCATGTTTATATTTTTATACCCTAACTTGCTCCATAAAGGATTTTAGGTGGAGAAAAGGCTGTGTATGAATACTTCATGTGGATACTGTCACCTTCCTATCCTAATTTTGTATGGGTACCCATCCACACACTCTCCCTCAGTACTTATATTTTATTTATTTCCTCTTTTTTTTTTTTAAAGCATAACTTCTGAAAAGGATCTAGAACTTCTCTTTAATCAAAGTTTAAATATAATGATGAAATGTTCACAGTGGAATTTGAAAAGGAAGAAAGTGACACCTACCCTGTTTCCCTGAAAATAAGACAGTGTCTTATATTAATTTTTGCTCCCAAAGATGCTCTAGGTCTTATTTTCAGGGGATGTCTTATTTTACCATGAAGAAGAATACGGTGTACATTTATTGTTAAATGAAAATAAAGGAAATTTATTACCTGTATATGGTACCTGTATATGGTACGGTAGTTGTAACACAAACCAGACAAACTGAATCCTACAGTATCAAGAATTTACTCATTTATTCAATGACAATCATGTCATCATCTTCTGGAACATCATCATAACAATCCAATTCTAAATTTCCTGGTGAATTTCTTGTGACTCCATTTCTTTCAGAATCAGTGGACCAAATCTCTTTAGCAATAGCATTCTGAGACAGAGCCTGGGGGCGGGGGGGGGGGGCTTATTTTCAGGGGGATGCCTTATATTTCAGAAGGAAACCTGTAAGTAGGTCTTATTTTCGGAGGATGTCTTATTTTTGGGGAAACATGGTATATCGATGTCTATGTTGGCGGTGGAGGAGGGGAAAGCCTTTCCATTCTAAAAGCCCCCTAATGTCAGCTGCTATCATGCACTCCATGGTCCTTCTTGTGATCTGAGCTAATAAACTTCAGAAAGGGGCTCTCTCCACTCTCTGTCACAACGAGAGTAGAGCTATACAGAAACATGGCAAATTAGTGCATTTCAAGATTCTGATGGCCCAACATTTCTGCAAAGTTGAATGCCTCTCCCCGAGGCATTCGTGCCTAGCATTTAGTTTAAATAAGCAATGGGGACACTGGTCTGAATGGTAATACTTGACCTCTTGGAAGAGCTTGGGACATAATACTGACCACAGGCACCGCCAAGCTCTTTCCGAGTGGATTACTCACCTCCTGGAAGTCCCAGTGCTGCTGGTGGATGGCAGGACCTTCCGCGGTGCAGTTCTGAAGAATCACCTGCTCTCGCCTGACGTCGAGGCACAGGTGCTGTGGGCCTCCAAAGTGGATCTCCTTCCTGCTGGTGTGCTCCAGGTGCTGGGAGAGAGGGACCAGGTGTTAGCACAGCTAGCAGAAGATGGTCTCCAAAGCTGGAGATGTAGGAAGCAGAGCTCACAATCGAGCTGAGGCCTAGGGGCAATCTTCAGATATCGGGGAGGGAGGTGTGTGGAGTCATCAGTCTCATCACCTGAACCAATCTTTGCATTAAAGGTTTATCCTGCCCCCTGTAAAGCAACCACAGATGTAACCTAAAAAGGTTAAGAACCACAACCAGAGAGTAGACAAGTCACTAGCCTGACCCATCCTTCCTGGGCATGGATTTTAACCAGGTGCCACCTCGACTTCTCAGTGTGGATTTCTAAAAGCCTGACCTGTGGTGGGCTATATAGACCCATGAGCAACACCCCTAGTTCAAGGCCAAGCTTCTCCCTCTGGGTAGCATGCCTGCCAATCATGCTCAGCATTTCTCTTTGGATGTCTGTTGGGCCCTTTTTGTTGTCTCAGGGCAGTCCTACTCCTCTTGGGTCCTGAGGACTCCAGCCACACTGCAGGGTGGGGCCTCGGGGAAATCTATGGGGTTGGTCTTCAATGCTGTCTCTTGTCCCTCCCCACACATGTCATTCAAGCCTCTATTCCAGGGAGAGGCTCCTGCCAGCCCTGGCACCCCAGGAGAGCTGATGTGCTGCCTCCCTCCTTTCCCCAGGGGCGTTTGTACTCTCTGCTTCCTTCTCACTGTGCAAGCCTCTTCCCTGTGGCAGGCATTTCACAAACCAAATTGCTCTGAGTATGGGAAATGTTCTGAATGAGGCCAGTGCTCAGCAAGCCAATGACTCCATCTGTTCTGTGAGTAAGTCCTCCTCTGGCAAGTGGAGCAGCTGGTCACTAGAGGCCATGAGGCCATCTGCTCCAAATCCAGCCCGCCCTCCCCTACACACACACACACACACACACACACACACACACACACACACAGCTCCTGTGGTGCCTTAAATATATCAGTTCCCACAGATCCCTGTGAAACACCAGGAAGGCACAGCAACACAGCACATCTCCTCTGGGCAGGATTCAGCATTAGAGAGCTTGAGATCTAAGATTATGAGTCATGAGTCACTGGTCTGAGGCGCCATTGCAACACTTGTCACTGTTGCTGAGCCTACTACCCCCTCAGGTGACCCACTTTCCCCACTTCAGGTTCCAGTTGGCTAATGATCTCACCGTGCCCTTGTGGAAGTTTGCCCACGTATAGCTTTTCCTTGACCTCTGGTTATAGTTTTTAATTTTAATAGGGAGCTTTTTCATAAATTCTGGATTTCAAGTGTCTTTGAAAATGTTGGATGACCTAATAATACTGGGTCCAGTTTCAGAACCTTTAATTGAGGTGGGGCAGGTGCAGCTGTCCTTACATATGGGCATTTGCTCCTCATCACAACAGCCTCTACCCAGCTCAAGGTACATTTCTTTACCTGCCTGACTCCCTGGATGGCCACTGTCTGAGCCTCAGTTTTCTCATCTGTCAGATAAAAGCATTGGTTCAACAGCCTCTCCATTTCCCTTGAGCTCAGATTCTTGCATTCTCTGATGATGGTCAATGTCTGTGCTTGCAGCTGGAGCAGGGTGGGCAGGGGCTGGGCTGGGTCATCACAGTGGGGAAGCCATCAAGGGATATAGACCACTGAAAGGAGGTGCCCTAAAGAGAAGTGAGGGGCGCCTGGGAAAGACCACTTGTAGGTCTTCCCTGATCAATACCCTGAGAATTCTGACCACCCACCTGTTGCTGCCGGCTGTCACTGCAAGGAGCCAGCAGCATGGCACAGCCCAGGAGGTCCCCTTCTGCCTGGCAGTCTGCACAGAAGCCAAGCCCGGTGTTGTGGAGCTGAAAGTGAACATCCATACGGAAGTGAATCCTGCCCTCCATGCAAAACACCCTCAGTCAGATGCCATTCCTCTCCTTCACTCTCTGAAAGCACTGATCCTAAGGGACAGGCCTCCTGAAGGAGACAGGTGGCACCTGTCCTGGTGAGGGGCTCTGGGATGGGTTATGGGGCAATCCAGTCACCTCCCTCAGGGCAGGCATGGGAGCCTGTGAGGCCTCTCCGAATTTGGGCTGGTTGGCCAAGGTCATGGAAGAGCAATAGAACACCACTTCCTATCTTGGGAAGCAGCCCACCCCTTCTCTTCCTCTTCATCTTTCCTGGGTCACGCCTTGCCTTTCCAGAGAACCTGGGCCTGTGCTCGGATGGGTACAGCTCAGGGTAGATGTTGGCCAGAAACCAGTGGAATGTTCGACACCCCAGTCTCCTTTGCAGCTGCAGGCGTTCTGTGCAGTCCGGCTTCTCAGCCTGCAGGGAGGAGAAACACACGGCAGTGAGATGGAGAAAGCTTGTTGTACATCAGAACTTACATGGTGGAGGAGGGATAGATGTGGCTGACGCTGAAGGATTGGGACCAGACTGAGGAGACCAAGATCATAGTTCTCCAGGACTGGAGACAGGAGAGAGGCTCATGTGTGAGGAGAAAAGGGTTTGGACTGGATAGAGTAGGGTGGATCTTCCTTAGAGACATCTGTGGAACCAACAACATGGTAGGTGATGTCACTCCCTTCCCACAAGCCCTCACAATCTACAAAGACGACGAGATCCATGCTGGATGACTTTTCTTAGGCAGCTGACAAAATATGAGGGGGCTTTGAGCCTTATGTTGGTGTGGCACAGCATCATGATGGGCCTCATTGAGGCAGAGCCTGACCCAAAGGAGACTGAGGTGAACTAATCTGGAATTCATAAAGTAAGTGTAGAGGATTTACCTTTCTTCCCCTCTAGATGCCCAGTTTCCTCCATTAACAAATCATTTCTATGGGCCACACTATCTTCCTTTTTTGAGATTCTCCTGTACAATACATTTGTCCTAGGATGGATATCAAGGTAAGTCTTTAAGATTTTAGTATACATAAGTGTTTGGGGCTATATTGATAAGATACAAAGAATCATATCCACATTTTAGTACTAACTCCTGGATGTTTTTAGGGAAGAGGTTCTAAGGAGAGATTCGAAAGACCAAAAACAAACAAAGAGAGAGAGAGAATTATTTTGGGGGGTGAGAAGAAAAGAGAGGGAGCTGAAATAGGAAGTCTATGTCAGAGTTCTAACTTGATGGCCTCTCGCCTGGAAATTAGACTCTGATCTAATTGGCTATGTGAAGGGAGTTTGGTTTGCTTTTACCCTTTCCCTCTCTTGGTCCTCAGATATAAATGCTGGGGAGAGTAGGATCTGAGCCTGCCATATAGAAATGCTCTCTATATGCCTCTCAAAGTGTGACCCCTGAGCACCTGGTTCAGAAATGCCCAAGGAATTTGTTTAAAAAGCACATTCCTGAGCCCTGCCCCATAGCCTATGATTCAGTAGGTCGGGCATTTAATCTGCATTCCACCATTTATCCACTTTGAGAACAACATCTCTAAGTCAGGAATTTCTTGTTTATTCAGCATGTTTACCCACCATTAAACCAAAGAGAACTGCCACTTTTTTCTTCTCAGGAATTCCTGTTGGTTTTTTGACAGTTTCTTGGCATTTTTAGTGTCCATTTGAGTCCTCCCCAGTTCTTCTCCAGGACTGGACTTTGCTAGTAAAGCAAACGCATTCCTTCATAAGAGTTCCATCACCTTCATCTTTCTTGGTGGTGAAACATCCTGGCAAATCTACCCAGCCTCAAATGTGAATGCCTGCTGACAGAAAACTTTCCCCTGAACACCGTGTCTTACAGAGAAGAAAACAAGAGAATGTCAACTCCTCCAGCACTGAAACCTTGGCCTTGTCTTTGAGTGTGTGGGATTTCTGTATCTCAAAATTCAAGGGGGGGTTTTGGTGGGGAGGCAGGAAAGGGGGTGGAAGGATAGAAATCATTAGAGCAAAATTAATTTTTAGCTATTTAGATATAAAGTAAGTTCATGCTATCAAACACCTTCAGGGAGGCAGTGATATTACTGAAACCTTGATATCAAAGTAAGCAATAGGACACTTCTAGAACATGAATTAATAGAAATCAGGTTTTTTTTTTAATGTCAGAAAAAAAGTTCTTCTAACTTACCAGTAGGAGGTACCATTCTTATGAAAGTCATCAAATGAATGTTGATCAGAGAATGTACCACTCTCAGCCCTGTGGGCTGATGAGGGACTTGGGGGAGCTGTTTCAGAACCTTTATGGGTCCTGAAAAATCTTACCTTTGGAGCCCCCACTCCCAGCATAGGAAACATTAATATGAACCCCTGTCCCACATGAAATAGCATGTGTGTCACTCCATAAGAATTAAGCTGAGTAACAGTTGACCAGTTGAAGAGACAATGTTTGTGGACTTTAATTCAATGTTTAAAAAATTTTTTTTTCCTGTGGTTGTTTTGGATTTTTTTTGTGTGTGTGTGTCTATTTTTACAGCCTTGAGCACTTTGCCCAGCATGAAAAGGCCCTCTGAGACCTGTTCCATCCCTTACTCCCTGCCCAACTTCTCCTCTGGGCCCATCCCATAGAGGGATCATATCCCATAGACGTCATCCCACTGACACCAGGGGGTTCCAGGCCAAGACCAATGGTAAAGCCCAAGGAAATGCTGAGAGGGACAAAGAACTGTTCCTTCCCCCTTCCCCACCCCACCCCCTTGGGTAAAAGAGTCCTTTGAGAGGGACAACAAGGGGGAAGCACAAGCCAGAAGCTTCTATTTTCTCTCTAATCAAGAGGAAGAGACACTCCCTGGCCCGGCCTTCAGATGGCCCTGTAGTAGGCACAGAAGCCCCTGAGGGCGCTCCTTACCTTGCTCAGGGAGAAGGCCTCCGGGCTGTGCCTGTAGAAGGTGTCTTTGAAAGAGCCCAGCCAGGTCTCAGCAATGCGAACCTTGTTCAGCAGGGTGGCCTCCGGGTCCGGTGGGGAGTTGGCCTCCTGATTCTGGTAGAGGTGCCCCACCCGAGAGCAGGGAAGGATTTCAACCGAGCCACCGCAAAGCCAGGCCTGCCATGAAAAGACAAAGACACACCTCTGCACCTACTCCAAGAACGTGGGGCATAAGGGGCCTGCTAGGGGCCTGCAACATGCATGGGAAATTATGGGCATAAGATGACAAAGGTCATGGAGCAACCAGGCCAGAAGCGCCCAGGCCCAGAGCGGTCAGGCCTGGAGCAGCAGCAGCCAGGCCGGGAGTGGCCAGACCCAGAATGGCCGGGACCGGAGCAGCGGGGCCCAGAGCAGTCGGGTTGGGAGCGGCCAGGCCCGGAGCAGCAACATCCAGGCCTGGAGCAGCAGCGGCCAGACCCGGAGCAGCTGGATGTGGAGTGGACCAGAGCAACTGAGGCCAGGCCGGAAGCAGCCGGGCCCGGAACAGCTCGCTCCTCGCCTGCCCATGCCCCACGGCTGCTTCTCAGACATGGCTGGAAACTTTTGGGGGAACTTGAGGGTCTGCTGAATCAAGTGATGAAGGCTTAGATCTGGATATGTTGAGTTATTATAATGCTGGGATGTTGATCTGTGAGTGCCTTGTGTCGGGTCTGGATGAGAATGGTTGAACTATTTGGAAGTGTCTTTTATGTGAAATGTATCCTTGGGCATGTGGAAGTATTATTGATTTGAGAAAATACTAAGTAATTGATTTACTACCTGAAAAGTTCTGAAAGTTTAAGGTCTCTTGCCAAAAAGAGGTTTTAAAGCTAACACATAATTTCAATGGAGAAAGGGGAAGACAAGCCCTTCCAACCCAGAACAGGTAATCCAATTCCAGCCAGCAGCTATCTTTAAACAATGTGTTCATTTACATTTGAATGGCTATGCCTTTTGATAGCCTAAGGGCAAGTTTACATGTAAACAAGTTTGCTTCTCAGTTCCCAGGGCAGAAAAAACAAGGTTTAAAATTATTAGATTTTAAAATTTATTCTTGGAAATATAAAAGTTTTTTAATTAAAAAAAACAAGGAGATTGAAAAACCTGATGAACAATATTAACGGTTGATTGTAATAGAATCAGAGATACGGGAGGGGAGTGGACTGACAATTTGGATGCGGAAAGAGACTGAACATAAACTGTGCACCTATGGATGAGGACAATGGGGGGTGGGGAAAGAGCAGAGGGTGGGGTGGGAACCTAGTGGAGGGGGGGCAGAAATAAGGAACCTTTGTAGTAATATGAACAATTAAAAATAAATAAATAAATAAATAAATAAATAAATAAATAAATAAATAAATATAAAAATAAAATAAAAAGATGGCAATTCCACCTTTGCAGTGGGTTATATTGTTGCTGGGGTACTGTCACCCCAAATCTGGTTTACAGCCAAGCAATGGTGTTAATTAATTTTCTTTCAATGTGCATGTATCTGTGCACTGGGCCACTAGTATATATATGAATAGAGTGCTAACCCATGAGTGTTAAGTCTTTGTGTGTTTCTAGGGAAAGCATTCAAGTAGTTGCATGGGTGTGGCACCCTCACTCCACCCCTTCCATCCCAGGACAACTGCACCCATTCTTTCTATTTTGTCTCTTCCCTGCCTGGGATTCCACCTGGAAACTCTGCTGCACACTGCCAACTATACTGACCTTTGCCATCTTTTTATTTTATTTTTATTTTTATTTTTATTTTTATTTATTTATTTATTTATTTATTTATTTATTTATTTATTTATTTATTTATTTATTTTTAATTGTAATATTACTGGTAATATGCCCTATCTGATGGGCAAGTTTGATAGTCAAGTTAATGGGGGAGGCTAGGGGCAAAATCAAGGTAGGGCATGAAAGATGGAAAGGGGAAGACATGGGAGGCGTGATGTACCACATCTAATAACTATAATTTCTCTTCAGCCTCATCCCTAATCAGTGGCATTTTATTGGCTGCCTCCAACCTGTGACCACTCATGGTTCCTGGGTCCGCCCTTGGAGCAGGGCATACCTTGAGAGACAGTTCGAGGTTTTCACCACCCCGCAGTGACAGGAGAGGATCATACGCTCCAGTGTTTTGGAAGTAATGTCTATCCACGGCCACGACCGCGCCGGGCACCACAGGGCTCCTGGAGAGAGAAGACAGGAACAGACCACATCAGGGAGGCTTGCTGGACTCCAGGGGCTGAGAGAGTTCATGCTTTTAATGGCAAGACTGGAGCAAAGCAACCATGTCAGAAATCCCAGTATTTTATGAAAATAAGAGCTATGGCTATGGTTGCCTGGGCCTTTTTTTTAAATATATATATATTTTATTGATTTTTTTCAGAGAGGAAGGGAAAAAGATAGAGAGTTAGAAATGTCATTCAGCTGCCTCCTGCACACCTCCTACTGGGGATGTGCCCACAACCAAAGTATTATATATGCCCTTGACTGGAATCGAACCTGGGACCTCTCAGTCCATAGGCCGATGCTCTATCCACTGAGCCAAACCGGTTAGGACTGCCTGGGCCTTTTATACCCATCCTCAGGTACTGCTCCTGTAGGGCCACACCTGAGGATCCCCTACCCTCTGGCTTGAGGCCCTCTATTGAACCTCTGGGAAGAAGGCCCTGGTTAAAATAATATGCCCTAAAGCAGGTAGCACCAGGCCTGGACAAAGGGCAATAGCCAGCTCTTTCCTCCCCTTTCTCCCTTCGCCCTACTCCTCACCCATTCTGTCTGCTTCATGACCCATGACCATCCCTCCCACCCCCCCAATTCTAAGATAAAACCACCAGGGACTGTGGAAGCAGAGAGGTCCCACCCACCTTGAGGGAAATGCGCGTGACATTTCAATGTGTTGAATGTTTAAATACTAGCTTAAACACAGGAAATTAGAAGCCCAGAGTAAAGGGAATTAAGAGAACAATAAAATCTCTCAGAAAAGTTTAAACAGGAAAAGGTGTAGCCTGAGGCTTTTGAATAAGTGTGTCCCTTCATTCAGGGATAATTTGTTTTCATGGGACAAATATTAATGCAGCTAAACTCTGGATCGGTCTCAAGATATAAATGACTCAAAGTTCAGATTTTTTTTTTAATAACCAAGAAAACAGCATTACATTAACAAAACTTAGGTTATTAAAAACATTAAGTTATATACCAGAATACTGAAAACCAGGATTGTAGATGACTTGATATAGTTTCTAACCACTTTCTATTTGTAAGATCAGGGTTAATTCCTGGAGGAGGAAGGCCCAGCACCTGTTGTTTGGGGATCAGAGAGAAGGACACCTTGTCTGCTCTCCATGTGGCTGCCCTGGGAGCCCGGGTACCCCTCACCACCCTCTGCGGCAGGAGACAGGGTCCAAGCAGCAGCATGGGGGACCAGGCAGTGGGTACAGTTCCCTGAAAGCATGGGCTGTGGCCAGGAAAGGATGATGGATTTTGGCAGACACTGCGTGGAGGGTACAGGCTGCAGGATGCCATGACCAGGGAAGGTGCATTGTGGTGAACAGCCATGCAGGACAGCTTGAGCTGAAATGGGGCGCTTCCCCCCCCCCCCCTCCAGACCAGTGCTGACCCCACAGAAGCCTGGAGTTCAAATCAACTCTAGGGAGGCAGGGAGAGGTGGTGGTTGCACGATATTGTGAATGCACTAAATGCTACTAAATTGTTCCCCCTTGAAAAATTAATTTTATGCTATATGAATTTTAGCTCAATGAATTCTTTTGTTAAAAGGCGGATAGGGAGACACAGCTTGCTTCACCTGGCTCCCTGGGGAGACTTGCTCTCAGAACCCAGAGCAATGAGCTCATGGAGAAAAGGGTGAAGAAGTCCCCGCTGATGGCCAGCATCAACCTTCAGACCGGTGAACAACCTTCCAGCCAGTCTAGTCTAGTCTAGTGAAGTAGAGTCCTGCTAAGGCCCCAGACCCTGGAGCAGAGACAACTGATCCTGATGCTCCCTTTCAGAATTCATGCCCCACAGAGTCCAAGAGCTTACTAAAATGGCTGTTTTACAGAACTCCGTTTGGGTTAGGTTTATCTCTAGAACATCTACTTGGTTGTCCAAGAACCAAATGCTTGAGAAGCAACCCATAAAATCATATATAGTTTGATACTTATGGCGCCTTAGCATTCGCCTGTCTGAATTCTCCTTTTTTACGGAGAAAGGATCTGAAGCCAGGGAAATCCCAGTGTTACCTGGTGAGGCAGAGCTGGGTTAAGATCCCAGTGGAGGCTCTGCCTCGGTCTCACGCTGGGATTTATTGAAGGTGTCTGGAAGAGCTTCGCTGACTCCATCAACATGACAGTAATGACACGGCTGAGGGCCTGGCCCTCTCTGAATGCTTTTTATATTATATATTAAATCACTTAATCTTTTTTATATGCACTTTTTATTTTCTTCAAGGTGAAAGGATTAAGAAGTATATTAACTCATTCAATCTTAACAACAATCCTATAAGGTTTATAATCATCACTGATGGATTATTATTTTTTCTTTTCTTTTCTTTCTTTTTTTTTTTTTTTTTTAAATCACTGGTGTATTATTGATGCAGGTTCCCTGTGGGAAGATGAAGATAGGTAGCTTACTTTTATCTTGAACTTGCTCAGTCAGTTTTTTATCCCCAATTTACTAGTGAGAAAACCGAGGCACACATTAAGTGATTTGCTGAGAAACTGGTGGTCCTGGATTAGCTGACAGACAGTCTCACTGCCAGGTCCCTCCTGAGAAAGCAAAGGAGAAGTAGGCTCCGTGATGGGGCCTCACCTGATGGGGCTGATGGGGGACGGGAGGGCCTTCCTTTCACTGTCTGCCAAAGGCTCCCAGTGGAAATCCAACTTCCAGTCCAGCACACCCCGCTGCAGGTCCTTGGAGGGGAAATACTGGAAAGTCTTCCAGTCGATCACGTCTAGGACTGGAGACACCACCCGGCTCCTGGAAAGAAATGTAGAATCAACTGTGACTTTGAGAACAGAATCCAAGATGATGGCCCCGTAGGGCTGTCTGCTGACTTGTCCTAGTCCTAGTGCCAAGTTTATACATGTCTCCTGTTCTTATGTCAGCCAGGAGGGGCCAGTAATCTGTGTCACAGAACTGGGCACAATTGTTCCTTCTTGATTTCATTGGAGCTCTGATTATTCCTTATTTAAAAAGGAATCTGGACTATTAACAATTTACTTCATGTTGCTTGAAACCTTCTCCACCTGGTGAAATGCTAACACCTTTACCTCTTTGCCCAGACATTTTAATTTTCATACCTGAGGTCATCTCTAATGTCAATGACACAGTCAGCATTTATCATGGGAAGAGTGCAAGAATAAGAGTCCTGGGCTTGGTTCCGGCATCACCCCTGTCTGGCTGCACATCATAAAAAAACAACTATTTATTGAGTTTCTACTGTGTGGCAGGTCTGTATGAGCTGGAGACATGCCTGTGGTGGTCCAAGATGAGCTAGTCACCACCAGGTGTTGATTGCCGGAGTGGGACATTCGACTGAGGGAAATGGTTGACAAGACATGTTGAAGAACTGTTTTGAGCAGATCAAGCAAGCAGGGAGAGAATGACAGCAAAATGGGGAAAGAGAAGAGAAATGGTCAAAGGAAAATGTTAAATGTTAGGCTAATGGATTTGTAATGCAGCCCTTTCCAACATCATATTCCAAGGGCTGGCCTTAGTTAGAAAAGTAAAGACCCCTTTCTAGAAACCAGAAAAACCAAAGAATGCTAGTTCTCGATGGAGCTTTAGCAATCACCGCATCTAATGTTTCGGTTTCAGGGGAAAGTGACCTAGCAAAGTGTAGAGACTCTTTCCCAGGTTATGGTACAGTTGTGACTAGAAAGATGACTTTTCATCAAAGGTACTGATAACCCTGGTGTGCTGTGACCCTTCCCAGGGGTGTTTGCAACTTAATAGAAACTGTTCTCCAGGCCTCAGTTTCTGTGTCTATCAAACAAGGTAGATACAACTCTACTTGCCTGTGCTTCTTAAAATCCTCAAACATATTAAAACAAACAAACAAAAAAAAAAAACACAACCCTAAGGAATATGCTTCTCATCTTTTCCAATGATCAATAGATGATCTGTGAGTGGCTGAGGCTGTAGACCAAGCAGCCTGTCAAACTTGCAGCCTGTGGGCCACATGCAGCCCACAAGGAATATTTTTGCAGCTCAGTCAATATAATGGTATATAAAAAACATTCTAATAAAAATTTTGTAACTTAAATTTTACATAATCCTGTATGATAAAAGGGTAATATGCAAATTGACCCTAATGTTGAACGACTAGTCACTATCATGCACACTAACCACCAGGGGGCAGACACTCAAAGCAGGAGCTGACCTCTGGTGATCAGTGAGCTCCCACAGGGAGAGCTTTGGTCACGAACAAGCCAGGCTGACAGCTGTGATTGCAGCAGTGGTGGCAGGGGCCTCTCCTGCCTCCTCAGCAGCACTAAGAATGTTCAACTGATAGCTTAGGCCCAATCCCCTGGGGAGCCGACCTAAGCTGGCAGGTGGACATCCCCAAGGGGTCCCTGGACTATGAGAGGGTGCAAGCTGGGCTGAGAGACTCTCTCCAAGTGCACAAATTTTTGTGCGCCAGGCCTCTAGTTTATAATAATAAAAGCATAATATGCTAACCAATGTGTCTAGAAGGACTACCGGCAGACAACCTTCTGAATAAAGCTGGGGCTGCGAAGGCTGAGCCCCTTGCACGAATTTTGTGCATCAGGCCTCTAGTTATTAATAACAAACTACACGTTTGCTAACGACTGATTACTACAATTGTGTTGAATTCATTTCGCTTACACTCCTTACAAGAAAGCGCACCATTTCTCTACACTAATACTAGCAGTGATAATTTTAGCAGCCAATTGCCACATCATTAGTCTTGGACTAACAATTGCTGTGTGCAACAGGAAATATTTCACTTTCAGAGGACAAGAAAAATAGGTTTGTTTGCGTTACGCCTATTAATTTGTGCAGTTATTCAGTTTCTGGTAAGTTATTGTTCAAGAAAAATTATAAATTTTTATTAAAATGTCCTATTATTTTACTATGTTAACGATTACTCATTTATTTCAGCCCTTTGTATTCAGCATGTCTCTATTGAAATAAACCTATGTTTCTATAAACATTGAAGCTTTTGGGTTTTTTTGCGGCCCACATAAACTTAAACTTTGTTCACTTGGCCAGTATTAGCCTTTGAGTTTGACATGCTTGCTAGACGGTTTCTCCCCACTCCCACCTCTGGCTCCCCAAACCCCAGGGGGTGATTACCTGTCACCAGCTATTCTGCTGAGGAGGGGCTCCAGCCAGCCCGGGTGGCACTCGCAGTGGGAGTCCATGAAGACCAGCACGTCCCCAGTGGCCCTGGTGGCACCCAGCATCCGGGCCCCGATGGCACCCAGCCTCTTGCTGCTCCTGAGCAGCCTCACCCGCTCCAGCCTGGCCACATACTTGCTGAGAGCGGTCTTGAGCTGTCCTGGAACCGACAGGGCAAGGTCAGTACAGCATTTCACCACTTGACTGGTGCATTTCTCAGTGGTAAATGTGCTGATTTATTCCTTTATAATTAGTTTTTGGGCAAGTTTGTTAGCTCCAAGTTAATTCCCTAGAGAAGGGTCTCTATTAAAGTTGCTGAAATTTCTGAACGTGGATGTCTAAGAACCGGCCCCTCGGTGATGCCCCTGTACTGAGCAATGCTAATCCTTTCCTCAACATTCATTCTCGCCTCCACTTTATTAACAGAAACTTGCTCAGGGCAGGTAGAAGCACTTACCTACCAAGACTTCTTAGGAAATAGCCTTTTAATCCAATTCCGGTAAAAAAAAAAAAAAAAAAAAATATATATATATATATATATATATATATATATATATATATATATATATATATATATATATATATATAAAATAAGAGGATTCTGGAAAAACTATTGTTTTACCAAATTTTTCTCAACTTAGCTGGTCTTTGCCTTTTCAACCTTTTCCTGCCCAAAATGTGGATGTGATGCTCAGAGGTAGAGCAGCCTCATTGTGATTTTGAGGCCAAAAGCCACTCCCCACGTGTGGAGATGGAAAGCAGAAGGTAGCTCACAATCCCATGGCCCAGCTCCTTTGCCTCTACACACGAAAGGAGAAGAAAAGTCTCCCCAGTTCATCAGCTGATGGGGGAGGGACCACAGGTGTGCTCCTGAGAGAACTTGGCCCCAGCTGAGGGAAGACTCTGGGCACCTTCACCAGCCAACCCAGCTTAGCCCAGGACCTGCTCATTGGTCTGCCTACTATGCCGCTGATGTGATTCAGTAACCCCGAGCACTCCTGAGGCTGCGGCTAGTCTGACTCCCTGCCATGGTAAGACTGGCTGAATTCCCAACATGAGGAACTTGGGAAGAACTAACAGAGGCACCTGGCCACTCTGCCATGTCCTCTGTCATTCCCCTTAGAAGGTGCTTTGCAGACCTCACATGTGCTTGGCTTCCTTTGGAGCAGTCTGACCACCCCACAAGGCCAGGAAGGGCTCGGTTGGCCATTTAGCTGAGCCAGAAATATACTCCTCAGGCCCCAGCCAAAGACTGGAGCAGTGGTGCTCTCAAAGTATGGTCCAGAGACCAGCAGTATCGGCACCACCTGGGAGCTTGTTAGAAATACACAGCATTGAGCCCAGCACCAGGCCCAGGAACTGTGGGGTGGGCCCGGAGACCAGTTTTAACAAGCTTGCCTAGAGATCCTGATGCACATTCAATGAGAACCAGTGCCCTGGAGGTGAGGCAGGGGGCTCCTCTCTCTCCCTCTTCCTTTAGGCACTCAGCTATGCTGTGGCTGGTCTCCATGAGTGAGTTTCCTGTCAGAGGAGACATTCGAGCAGAATCTGCAGGTTGGTCTCTGGGCCTGACTCTGCTGCACTTGGCATAACTCAGCTCCGGTCAGCTCTCTCCTCTGGACCCCAGTTTCTCACCTGGGAAGCGAGTGGGAAGACTGAATGCCTAATGCCTGTCGCATGCTTGGCTGGCCCTGTGTCTAGGAGGTAGGGAACGCTCACCAAGTGACCACCCCTTGTGGTTCCTGAGCGTCTTGGGCCGAAGCTTATGGGACTCTGAGGAGGTTGGGGCTCAGGGGAGAGATCCCAGGGGCCCAGGTGGAATGACCCTCCTGAGACTCTCACCTTGCTTGTCTTCTTCACTGTTTCTATCCTGTCCCACCACTTCCATACTGGTGGCCCCGGAGGCTCTGCAGTGCATGAATTACATGCACCCGCATTCTCATCTGGAGGTCTGCTTCCAGGAACTTTTCCTAAACAGGTTCCAGGCCCCCATGTTTGCATGGAAACCCCCCAGGATTCCCTCCCCCCTGGTGGAGCCGGGAGGAAGCCCACAGCCACCTTGCTGGCTGAGGTCGTCCACAAGGATGACCTCCTTCAGGAAGGCCCTGGGCGCCGTGTCCAGGACGCTGTGCACCGTTCTCAGGAGGGTGGACCAGGCCTCGTCGTGGAAACAGAGGATGACGCTGGCCGTGGGCAGGCTGTCCTCGGGGTGCTGCTGCAGACACCTGCAGGGACGACAAGCGGGGGCCATGGGAAGAAAGGCCATGGAACGTGTCCAGCATCCTCGAACCCATTCCTGGGCCCTGGCTGTGGCCGCTCCGACCACATGCTTCGCCTCCCAACTCTATAGCTCTCCCTGAGCTTTCTTTCTTCCTTTCTTTCTTTTCTTTTTTTTTTTTTAATATATATTTTATTGATTTTTTTACAGAGAGGAAGAGATAGGGATAGAGAGTTAGAAACATCGATGAGAGAGAATCATCAATCAGCTGCCTCTTGCACACCCCCAACTGGGGATGTGCTGGCAACCAAGATATATGCCCTTGCCCAGAATCGAACCCGGGACCCTTCAGTCTGTAAGCTGACGCTCTACCCACTGAGCCAAACCGGTTTCAGCTCCCTGAGCTTTCTTAAAACTCCACACAAAGAGAGCCAGTTCACCCCCACAGCAGTGCTGCGTACCCCTCCCAGCCTCCCAGTCCTCGGAGCCCAAGAGCTCCTTTCCAAGGTTTCATCCACGCCTTTCTCAGAAGAGCTGAGACGTGTTACCACCATTCTCAGCAGAGGACTGTCCTGATCTGTAACAATGGGAATGAACTGTCGTAGGCAGTTAGACAGACTTGAGCAGAGCAAGGACAATGGGCCAGGAACAGAAGGTCACCGGATGGAAAGTCTCAGGTGCCTAGCAATGGACAATCAATTGTAGGGTGGACCTGGCCCCCAGGGTGACTTTTCCTCCTCTGGTATAACACTGGTCTTAAGGTTTGGACCCTGTGACCTTTCCCTCCTACCTAGGATAAGGTGACCAGATGTCCCGCTTTTGGCGGGACAGTCCCGATTTTTAACAATTTGTTCCGCTTCCCAATTTATCGGGACTTTTTAAAAATGACACAGGACAAATTGTTAAAAATCGAGACTGTCCCACCAAAAGCGGGACGTCTGGTCACCTTAACCTAGGGGTAACATTTAGGCCTCTGTTGTATTTCAGCTCCAGGCCCAGATAAGCAACAAAACCATCCACGGCTGACATCAGGACCAGCTGCATTGAATAATGACCGCTGCCCTGGCCCCAGCCAATCAATCAGTAGAGTCCACAGCTCTGAGAGGACACACTTGGAAAACTGCTGAATATGCTGAATAGTCTATTGAGATCTCGGCCAGGGACCTCCCCTAAAATCTCCATCCTTTAAAACCCTTTGCCCATATCCCCTGGGGCCATATGGTTATACTGCAGGCCAGGCTGGCTTCCAGTCTCCTGCTTTCTCCCATCCCACTGCTGGAGGCGCTCTCCCCAGTCACCTGCAGGAGAGGATTAACCTCCCACCCTCCCCACAGCCAGTGACTGGAAAGGAGTAGGCGTATTGATATCCAGCAACCTTGACCTCAAGGGTGGGGGGTGAGCAATATGCTGTCTCCCGGACTCCCTCACGGGGCTGCGCTCTAGCTGCTCACAGAAGTAACTACCTTGGGAACACGTCTCCGGTGGGCTGTTCTACATTCCCAGTCCCTGCCCCTGGCATCACCTGTACAGCAAATGCGTGTCTCAGGCTCTGCTCTGGGGGAGGCCAAACCGAGGTAGTCTCTGATGTCATGGTGTTCACATCCCATTACACAGACAACCAAGTAATTATTCACCAACTGAGACCCTTGGGGAATGGGGCCTGAGAGGAAAGCTGAGAATGGGGTGGGTCGGACACAGTGGAGAGAGGGCATGAGGGTGGGGAATGGTGTTCATGGCAGGTGTCATAGCCTCTGCTAAGGCCTGGAGGTGGGAAGAGGTGTGGTTGTGTCATATCCCAAGAATGGAAGGAACAGTACTGTATTCTAAAGTGTATTTCCCCTTATTTACTAAACATATTGATAGCAGTTTTCTATTTTATGATGTATCTTCAAATCCTTTGAAGGAATAAGGTGGGTAAACAAACAAGATGTGCCTGGCTGGTGTTGCTCAGTGGGTAAGGACTGACCTATGAACCAGGAAGTCACAGTTCAATTCCCTGTCAAGGCACAGGCCTGGGCTGCAGGCTTGATCCCCAGTAGGGAGCATGCAGGAGGCAGCTGATCAATAATTCGCTCTCATTATTGATGTTTCTATTTCTCTCTCCCTAACCCTTCCTCTCTGAAATCAATAAAAATACATTTAAAACCAAAACAAAATAAAACAAGACAGCAACAAGTAAGAGGTCCCCTGGGCAGATCTCCAGGCTTCAGTTCTCTCTGCCAGGTGGGGGTGCACGGTCCCCCTGCTCTACCTGGGCTGCAGCTCTGCGGAGGGAATCCATGAGACCATGTGACCATGGAGAGGAGCCATGGAAAAAATATGCACTTTCAATGTTAAATGATGGGGCTAGCTACTTCCTTTGTCCTTCAACCAGATAGCTGGTGCGTATTCTACTACCTCCGTTTCACACACACACACACACACACACACACACACACACACACACACACGTGTCCAGAGGCCTGGTCTGATCTCACTTGTCCATCTTCTGAGTGGCAGCAGGGGAGAGGAAAGATCTAGGGCTTTGGAATTAAATCGGCCTGGCTCTGAGTCCTGGCTCTGCTGTTTACACCCCCCAATTAGCCAGCACAAGGATGCTGATACCCTGTGCAGCCCCGGATGCTGCCGGATTAAAGGGGATCATCCTGGCCCAAGAGAGCGGCTCCGGAAATGTTAGCTTTGTATCCTCACCCTCCCAGATCACGGGCTGTGTTTACGCACAGATGCTTGCCTTCTCGTCACGTGGCTCCAGGATCTCCTGTGAGCTCAAAAAATGCCTTTGGATGGTGATTGGAAGAGAGTGAGTCACAGCGTTGCAGCAGATGGCCTGACTGCAGCACAAACACCGCCTCCCTCCCCCCAACTTTCCCCCCTGCCCCAACCCCACCTGCTGTCTTCCCATTGCCAGGCCACAGTAGAAAGGTTTCTGCACGGTTTTCTAAAGCTATTTTGGGGTTACTGACCCCCAGCTCCTACCAGATCAGCAGAGTGCCTGACTCAGGGGACTTCCATATTCCAATTCTGATTCCACCATGTAATGGCCTGGCTGCTTGTCTGTATCCCCCACCCGCTCCCTGCCATGTCCCCCAAGCTCCTTGGATTGGCCTGGGTCTTGCTCACCTTCTCACCTTTAATAACTGCTAAATAAATATTTGTTTGGTGAATGAAAGAAGACACCGTTCTTGCTCTCAAGGAGTATATAAGCTGGTTGCAGATACCAACAGGAGAGTGATACCTTACAGCCGATTCCCTACAGTCTGCAGAAATGTTCGGCCCATCTTGGCTGTAGTGGACGTGGCTCATCTTGGGAATACCAACTTCTGAGCCAGGCCCTGGGGAGAAGGGCTGGGCTACAGCCGGGAGATGATCCCTTGGAGCAAAGGTAGGGGTTTCTTTTTCTGCCAAGGACCATTTGGCAGATAACATCATTCTCAAGCCATACAAAATCATCAACTTAAAAATTAGCCTGGGGTTTGGTCAAACGTTTAATTAACTCACCCCTAAAACCAAATGATTTCATGAGCCTATACGGCCCATGGGCCTGGCACTCTTACCCCTGCCTTAGGGGGATGGACAAAGGAGCTTATGGGTGAGAGAGAAGTGTGGCAAGGGCTGGAGCCTGCGGTGGAGGCTGATGTGGCCAGCCTGGCACTCCCCACAGTGGAGACAAGTCATGTAAGGGGCATGAAGTCCCCTCCTCTGAAGCCTCACAGTCCCCTTCTGGAGGGACTCCGGCCATCCTTGGCCTTGCTCTGATCCAGCCCCCTGGATATATGTAAGCAGTTTCTACGACGTTCCAGATAATTCCAGTATGCCCCCAAATGTGTGATTATTTAGCAGCCCCCAGGGGCAGAACGTAACTGTTTGGTCAGAGAAAGGACAATGATGTAAAGTTCACAGTTACCTGCTCCAACCTTTCTCTGTCTTTCCAGAATATGATAAGGGAAACTTCTGTTTGGACTTGAATCCTGGATGAAAACTCATCAACATTTTGTCTGATTTGAGCTATAACCTCATGCAAGGGTGTTATCTCCCTTTTACAGTTAAGGCTCAGAGATTGAGTGATTATACAAAGTCACACAGTAAGAGGTAATGCCAGGATTCAGCCCCAGACCCACTATTCCATGTGACATTGATTTAGTCTTACTTGTATATAAACCAGGGTAATATGGGCCCCACCAAAGCACAAGTTACGAGTTGATGGAAGCAGGTAGCATACAGCCAGCTATAGCTGAGCTGACATTTATGTTCAAGTACAAAACCCCCGGGTAGGAGGGTGTCTATCTTCCTCTCTACTTCCCAATCCCAGCACTAATTCCTCCATGAAACTTTCCAGAACTCTACTACCTCTCCACTCACTTTCACTCACTTCGTACACTAGTGGTTCTCCAAACTGTCTTGCATTGCTTCTAAAAATCCAGATCTCTGGGCTCCAAGATGGAACTATGCAGAGTCCGTAGTGGCCGGGTCTGAAAACCTACCACTTTAAGTAAGCAACCTGTGGGATTCTGACATCTGACATGCACGTAGTTTCTCGAACTTTGCTAATCAAAAGTATGGTCTATGGCCGAAACCGGTTTGGCTCAGTGGTAGAGCATCGGCCTGTGGACTGAAAGGTCCCGGGTCCGATTCCGATCAAGGACATGTATAATACCTTGGTTGCGGGCGCATCTCCAGTGGGGGTTGTGCAAGAGGCAGCTGGTCGATGTTTCTCTCTCATCGACGTTTCTAGCTCTCTATCTCTCTCCCTTCCTCTCTGTAAAAAATCAATAAAATATATTAAAAAAAAAAAAAAAAAAAAAGTATGGTCTATGTACCAGCAGTGCTGGTACCAACTGGGAGCCAGAGAGAAAGATAGCACCTTAAGCCACACCCCTGGCATGCCAAATTAGACCCTGTGCTCAACAAGATGCCCGGGTGATTTGCATGCACAGCACAGTTTAAAAAGCACTTCTCTGTCCAATCTGTTCGGCATCAAGAGTGGAGTGAGCAAAGGCCAGGCCTGTTTGGGGGTTGTGCTGCAGGAACTGGGGCCAGTGGGGCTAGTCTGGGTTAGGAGTCAGGATGAAAGAAGCTCTGGGGTGGATGGTGGTGCATGGCTCACTACAGCAGGGGCACAGCTTCGGGATGTCTAGTGTTCTGGTTCTGGACAGAAAGCAGCAGTGCAGGGCCTGCAGATAGTAGGTGCTTAAAATACGTCTGTTTTTTTATGGGTCTATTTTGAAACATTTAAAGAGATGGAACGAGGGGAGTCCTGTCACCCTGGAGGGAGGGTGTGTGGGGAGGGAGGCGCGCGAAGGGGAGTTATTGTCTCACTTTACAGAGAATCCCTTATGTGTGCTAGAGGGCTGCTGGGAAGGGGAGGCTCCAGTGCCTGAAGTGCAGCCAAGGCTTGGGCAGCATAGGCTACATGGACCAGCTGCAGCCAGCAGAGGGCGTCTCACACCTCCAGATAGAGCTGGTTGCCGGGGGGGGGGGGGGGGGGGGGGGGGGGGGGGGAATGGGGGGGAGGTTTGAGGTCCTGAAAGAAACCTGGAAAGCTGGGGGTGAGGCGACCAACTGTCCCAGTTTGCCTGAGACCTGTAGACTGAGACTGATTTCAGTGCTAAAATCAGTAAGATCCCAGGCAAACAGATGAACTGGTTACCCTGGCTTGAAGAAGCAACTACTAAAATGATGCAGGCACACACACATACATACATACATATGTACACATCACACACAACACAAAATGTACCCATGCTTGCACCACACACATGCACAGCACACACCCACACACTTCATACTACCAGCATGACACTTTTATACACATACATATGCCATAAATTTGCCCACACTTGCACCATACACAAAACATATCTCTGTACTTCACATCACATGCATAATACACACAACACATTTGCACATGTACACTTATACCACTCACACAATACATTTGTAACACATGCATGCAGCAGATGCAATGCACACACTTGTACAACACACACACAAGCACATCATCGGCTTGCTACAGGCTCACAACATAATATATATGTACACACTTACAACAAAAACATGCAAAAACAAACCTTGCCTTCCAAGACACACAAGCACATGTGTGCGTGACATACATGATGTGTTGTGCATATTGCAACACATATGAACACTAACACGTCCATAACATATACTCATGTGATAACATATAGCACAACTCATACCTGTGCACATCACAACACACACAGGCATCACATATTGTGCTACTCACATGTACTACGCACAACCCATTCAACATACACACAGCATAATATACACACACAACACATGCACACATACACAACACATGCACAGACACAGCACATTTGCACAATGCAACACACATAGTCTCTCTCATACACACACACACACACACACACACACACACACACACACCCCTTTGGTAACCAGAGACCTTTTGTTTGAGGCAATGTTTCTTTTTGACAAGATGAGGATACCCATTCTTGCTCTAGGCCAGTAAAAAATGTATGAACAGAATTTTAAAACTATATTCACGCACTCAGCAATCATTTATTTCCTGTGTGCTGGGACCTTGGGCTCACCGCATGGCAGGCAGAGCAGGCACTGAACAACCAGCCCATCAATGCCCACTCAGCTTCAGTAATGAGTATGATGAGTTAACACTCCAGAGAGTACAGAACTGCAAGGGGCTGGGCCTGGCTGGGCCTGGGAGTTTCCTGAAAAGAGATTTGAAAGCCAAGACCTGAAGTCAGAACAGCAGAGTTGGGACGAGGAGGTGAGTGAGGCTCCAGGCACACAGTGTAAGGAGGTGTCACTCCCGTGTGCTGTCCTGCATTTGCACAACCCTGAGAGCGAGTGGCCGAACAGCCAGGCAGGGGGACCCCATGAGGGATCCAAGCAGATCATAGTCCTGCTCCCAACTGCTGCTCTACGTGGGTCCTCTCACCGGGAAGGGGGGAGGGGATTTGCTTCCCATGAAGCTCTCTGGGCTCTGGGAAGGGCTGTGGCTATAGGGTAGGGACCTAGATCACCCACACCAACCAGCTGCATTGCTCCCCTCTCTGCAGCCAGCCTGGTGGTGGTGAGAAGCGAGGGAGGAAGGCAGGCGTGTACAGGATGAGGCTATCATCTCGCTGGGCACAGCCTGCGTGTCATCTCACTTCGCAGCCTGCTCCTAGGGTTGGGTCACCCTGCCAGGTCAGATGGCGTCTGTGCTCCTGGGCACTGGAATCATCCCTTTAGTCTAGTGGACCAAGGAGAGTGGCATAGAGTGGCAGTTCAGGCAGACTGGCCTGCTTTGGCACCCGCAGGCTGTGTGACTATGAGGAAGTCACTTGGCCTCTCTGTGCCTTATTTTCCTACCTATAAAATAGGCATGATGGTAATACTAGCACCCATCCAACAGAGTTGTAAGGGCCTTATACCGATACATTAATATGTGAAAAGTTCTTAGATTAAAGCCAGGCACATGGCAAGACCCACCCATGTGTTAGCTGCAATTGCTGTTTTGATCCAAAATGAAATCGAACACTGACAACAATCATACTATCAAAACAGACAGGAGTCACAGTGTTAGAACTGGCAGGTGCCCTGGAGGACCTCTGCCCCAGGTCCCCTCTGAGTTCTATAGATAAAACTGCTTGATCTGCTAATCCACTGACAGAAGGACTAGAACCCAGGGTGGGGAAGAGACGGGACAGTAAGAGCTGCTCCCTTCTGCTCTCTAGGAAGGTGGTTCTCACCTGGAGGGCTGGTTAGATAAGATCCCGGGACCCCACCCCGGGTTTCCGACTCAGGGGTCTGAGACTGCTTTTCTAACAGGTTCCCGGTGATGCTGCCGCTGCTGGTCCAGCGGCCACACCTGGAGAGGCGCTGCCCTAGGGACAGTGAGGCAGAGTGCACCCCGCCTTTGCTGATAGCACCCCTGTACCTGGGAATGGGGAGGCAGGGCCCTTACTTACAGCGGATGCCGTACCTCGGGCAGCGCCCTCTGCAGGGGGATGCGGGCGCTGAGCGTCTCCTCCAGGCTGAGCTTGATCCGCTTATCTTCTTCAGATGCCTCCTCATCGTCTTCCTCCTCCGCCCCCCAGTCCTTCTCTGCGGCCTCCTGGTCTAGCCACCTGCTCGGCTGCTTGATGAACCGGTAGCTGCCACTTCTCCTGTCCTGGCTCTGGTTCCTTCGTACCCTGGGTGAGGCCACGGCCACGAGGAGCTGATCCTCCCGCAGCGAGATCAAGGGCGGCAGGCCCTCCAAGGGCTCGTACTCTTGGTCCTCATCCTCGGTCTCCAGCACCCATTCCTGGGACTCCCCAAAGTCCAGGCGGTACCCAGCTTCGGGGTTGTGCTGGGCGGCCTGGGCTGCGTCCGCCTGGTGCGGGGCCTGCGGGGGAGGGTGCAGCACAGCCACCATCAGCAGCACGCATCCCAGCGTCAGGAAGAGCAGCAGGAACTGCAGCCTGCATGGCCCGTGCCTGCGTCGCTTCCTTAGGAGCATGTTGCTGGAACTTGCCAAATGCAACAGGTCATGTTCAAGTTTGCTGTCCCCCGCAGCAGACCTGGGTTCCTGGTTCCACCTGGAAGTTTTCGGACAACCACTTCACCTGCTCCTCTGGTGCCGTCTGCCATTTACCAACAGCGTGTGTGAGGCCAGCTCCCACGTACAGTCCGAAAGCCACAGGACCTCAGGTCCTCTCCGCGTGGATTTCTTTAATTGCCTTCGAAAAGCCCATTCACGGGGACTTCAAATTCAACTGTGTGGCCCCTTTGGCCCCCTTTTTTTCTCGTTGGGAAAAAGCAACAATTCCATTCTGCTCAGGTGTCCAATCACCGGTGTTTTGTTTCCCCCCCTTGCACGAGGGGTCAGGTTGCTATGCGCTGTCAGGGGGAGCGGGTGGGTCCTCAGTCCATCAGTGCTGACAGCCGTCGTGCTGGATGCTTCAAGTCAGGTCAGATCAACAGATGAGAAGCCGGCAGGCAGTGCCTGGTTTCCTTTCACACATAGCTCCGCGCACAGCCAGCCAGCAGCCGAGAGCCCTCTGCCAGACACAGCCCGAGCCAGGCGTGCGCCTCGCTCCTGGTCCTAATGCCCTCACTGTTCCCAGGCTCTGCACGCCCGGTGAAACACAGCTCCGGAGGAACATTCAAGTCGTCACTGCTAGGACCAGACCCAAACAGAAACATGCTAGGAGCTCGGATTTGAAACTTGTCCTTAGGAAAACTTCTTGCCCCACCCACAGGGGCAGGAAAGAGCATTCCCTCCTGATTTCACAAAGGCTGTACATGCAAAGAGTTAGCTGTCTGTTCGCACCCTCAGACTCCGACAGGTGATCTGTGAAACTAGACCAGACTCTTCCTCCCTCCCCAGATACCTCCCTTTGGAAAACGAGGAGAGTGGGAGGAGAGGGTGCTCCCTTGCCCACAGGAGCATCTGAATGCCTACTATGTGCTGGCCACTGAATGCCTACTATGTGCTGGCCACTGAATGCTTACTATGTGCTGGCCACTGAATGCCTACTATGTGCTGGCCACTGAGGGGAAGTGGCTACATGGAAGCAGAGTGGCATGCTCCTTCACGTGTAAAACTTCATTCAACCAACAAATATCAATGAACACCTACTATGTGCCCAGACTATTCTGGGCACTGGGAGTACAATAATGAATAGGACAGACCAAAATGTGTGCCTTGTGGAGCTTACGTTCTAGTGGGAGAGATGGATAGGTAATTCATTAAAATCTACAGTGGGTTAAATGGTGATAAGCACTAAGGAAAAAATATATGTAGTAGGGAAAGGGCTTAGGAGTCATGGGCCAGGGGTTGGAATTTGACAGTAACTGGCAAGGAGGGTTTCACAAGAGTTAGCATTTGTGTAAAGAGGAGGGCTAGGCAGCTACCTGGGGATAAGCATCTGAGCCAAGAGAATAACACATGTGAAGGTGCTGCGGTGACAGTGTGCCTGGCCTGTGTGAGGGCAGCAGAGAGCCAGTGTGGCTGGAACAGAGTGAGCAAGGTGGACCATGATGGAAATGGAAGAAGGGGGATAAGAGAGGTAAGAGGTTAGGGGTGGGGATCATTGTAGGGATCTCGGCTTTACCTCTGAGGGAGATAGGAGCTCTTGGAGGATTGTGGGCAGAGGACAGACACAATTCACTTGGATTTTAACTGGATTGCTCTTGCTGCCGTGTTGGGATTAGACAGTAGGGGAGCAAAGGGTAGAACGGGGTGACCAACTAAGGCATTTTGCAGTGAACATGATACGGGCGTGGACCAAAGAGGCATCAGTGCAGGTGATAAGACATGATGAGCTTCTGGGTATGCTTTAAGTTAGAACAAGCAGGGTTGGCTGACGAATTGATATCCAGCATGAGGGAAAGGTAAGAATCCAGGATGACTCCACATTTTTTGTCTGAGTAGTGGAGGAAGTGAGTTGCCATCAGCCGAGATGGAGAGGCCAGGAGTATCTAGGAAGTGAACAGCAGGGGCCCAGTTTGGGAGGTGTGAATTTGGAGACGTCTTTTAAACAGCCAAGAGGAGATAAAGGATAGGCAGCAGGATAATGGTAGCTGGAGGTCAGGGGAAAGGTCAGGCCTTCAGACAGAGTCGGACACCAGCAACACATGGGAGGTGTCTGAAGCCATGAGCCCCCAGATCAGAGAGGGAGTGATGTAGAGAGGAGAGGGAATTCAGCATGCTCAGAGTTCAAATTCTGACTGGAGCGAGTTGATTAAGGGGGACTAACCATCATGATGAGGTGGATTTCTCCAATGGCTGTGAAGCCCAATGCTGTCCTGTAGCCAAGAACTGAACAGAAAATGTTGTTGGGGAATTCCTGAAGTGAATTGCTCATTGTTTCTGTTTTGATTTTGATCTTAGAATGTGAATTTAAACAGGTCATGAGAAAAAAATGGTTTTCCTTTTGACTCAGTTACTTCTTCTAGCGTGTGTGTGTGTGTGTGTGTGTGTGTATGTGTGTGTTTTCCCTGAAGCTATTCAGAATGCTAGAGGTGACATAGTAAGTTATGTGTGGTTGTTTTCCTACACTGAGTGGCCAGATTATTATGATCTTTGAACACATAATAATCTGGCCTCTCGGTGTATATCCTATATAATAACAGGCTAATATGCAGATTGTCCCCTCGACCAGGAGTCCGACCAGCAAGCAGGCCGGCCAACTGCCCAAGTCCCTTCCTCCTGGCCAGGTTGGCCAGACCCCACCCAAGCACAAATTCATGCACTGGACCTCTAATATATATATATACACACACACACACACACACACACACACACACACACCCCACACACACTGAATGGCTAGATTATTATGCATTAAGAAATCATAATAATCTGGCCACTCAGTGTATATCTGAACAGTGCCCTGATGGACAGCACTTGGGAACTGCTGGATTGTCCCATTTTTTCCAAGTCCTCCAACCTCACAGTGTATTTAGGGGTAGGATAGAGTGACTTCAAGGTTCTAGGGGTGGGCACCCTGGGAGATGTAGTTTAGAATTTCTGGGATATATATATATATATATATATATATATATATATATATATATATTTGATTTCAGAGAGAAAGGGAGAGTGATGAGAGAGAATCATTGAACGACTGCCTCTTGCACACCCCGTACTGGGGATTGAGCCCCCAACCTGGGCACGTGCCCTTGACCGGAATCAGACCTGGGACCTTTCAGTCTGCAGGCTGATGCTGTATCTACTGAGCCAAACCAGCTAGGGCTCTGGGACGTTTTTAGGTTAATGAGGATGATAGGGCAGAGAGTTTCCATTCCAGGAGGCTTTCAGAGAACCGAGTGTGCGCAGTCTCCACCCTGGGACAGAAGGCCTTCCCCACCCTCTCCAGCAGCACTGCCCTCAAGCTCACCTGGCCAACCCTTTACCTGATTGCTCTTTCCCCAGAAACCTAGCCATATGGCTTATTTATTCACTTTCCTGTTTACTGGAATGTCACTACTCAGTGATGCCTCTCAACCACCTTTTCATGTCAAAGCTCCTCCATCTACGTGTGGCTTTCTCTGTCCTCCTCTCCTGCTTTTTTTGAGAATCTTCATGGCTCTTCTCAACTTGAGAAGTAAGATACTCAGTTATTTTATTGTCTGTTCCCATCTAATCCCCATAAAAGGTAAGCTCTACAAGGAAAGGGTTTCCATCTGCTTACTGCTGTTTCCCCAGAGACTGGGCCTGTGTCTGACATACTCTAGGCAAGTGGTTGGCAAACCGTGACTCAGAAGCCACATGCGCCTCTTTGTCCCCTTGAATGTGGCTCTTCCACAAAATACCATGGCCTGGGCAAGTCTATTTTGAAGAAGTGGCATAAGAAGAAGTTTAAGTTTTAAAAAACGTGGCTCTCAAAAGAAATTTCAATCGTTGTACTGTTGATATTTGGCTCTGTTGACTAATGAGTTTGCCGACCACTGCACTAGGGAAATCAGAGGACTCACCTTGTTAGTTTTCCCTGTCCTGGGAATCACTATCCCGTGCTACCTGATGGCCAATTCCTGAAAACCACTGTTTGTTTTTTTAAATTTATTCTTGGGTTTTTAGTTGTTGCTCAATTCCTTGAGGAGGAAAGCACTTCTATAACATTTTCTTCATTTGGGGTTCCCTAGAAGCAGATGCTGGGATATCATTGATCCTCCTGAATTCTGTATTTGTGAATTTGCCTACTTGCTACAATTTATTTGTAACCTCAAAATCAATATTTGTGTCACTTTCACAGACACTTTTGGAGAGGCACAGAGTGACAAAGAATTTGAGTTACCAGATGTGCACATTCCAAGCTGAGGTCTAGCAAGGCAACACTCTGCTTCCTTGTTAAGTTCTTAAGTTGTAAACAAAAGGTCCTTTTCGCCTTCTGTGTAGTGCACACTTCTTGCATTTTTGTGCTTTGTGTTGGTAATTTTACTGTTTAAAATGGCCATCAAGTGCACTGCTGAAGTGTGGCCTAGTGTTCCCAAGAGCAAGAAGGCTGTGATGTGCATTATTGGAGAAAATACTGTTGACCTTGAACAGCACAGGTTTGAATCATGTGGGTCCACGTATGTGTGGATTTGAATAATAACCACCTGTACTTAACATGTAAGTGAACCTGCAAAGTTCAAACTTGTGTTGTTCAAAGGCCAACTGTATTTTATACCTGCAATTGGGAATCCGAGTATGAGGAGGGCCGAGAATTTTCCACTGGGTAGGTAGTGGGCACCCCATCCCCACATTGTTCAAGGACCAACTGCACATGTGTTAGATGAGCTTCATTCAGGCATGACTCACAGTGCTGTTAGCTGTGAGTTGGATGTTAATGAATCGACCATACATATTAAATAAGGTGTCTTTGAGCATAAACAATCGCATAAAATGAGATTATGTATTGACTGGCTGATGAAATGTTGTGACCAGAAGACAGAAACCTAATCTCCTATTTCCCCTGGGAACAATGGTTCAGTATTCCCTAATTCAGTGTTCACACCGATCGTATAGAATTG